TACGGACTCCCCAACTACAGGGAATAATCTTCCACTAATTCCTCTATCAAAAATTTTACAAATTAAAAATGTTCTTATACATTTTCTTTTATATTCTGCTCCACCGCAAATAGTCCCAGGGTTTCAAGCCCCTCATAACTAGTTTCCTATCATCTTGAGCATCATGCTGGCTTGCTGACATAGTTTTAATTAGAATAGCTCCTCTTAAACAAAGTTTGGGCAGTTTCAAACAAATTTCTGCTACACTTGGGCCTAAATCACCAAACTTTCAGAAATGTAAAACTGCAATAAGATGTTTTTGAGATTGGGACAAGTTATTCGTTAGGGTGATGCAAATGAAACTTTGGCCTGTACTGGACCTGAGCTGTACACAACCAAGGAACCTTACTTTGCAACTATAAATATTTTTTAAACAGTGCTCAATGCTGTCATCAATGCCATATATGGGAATGTTTTATTCCTGAAATGTTAACATCATCTTATTATTGGGAGAAGGAAGAAATAACAATCTGTGCTTGGCATAGAAAACTATATAAATATTTCTGACTGCTCTTACTGTTGTGGCAGCTTGGTTTGGTTGGTAATATGGTTTCAGCAAGTCAGAAGATTGCATACTAAAAACTTTTCTTCAGCATTTGAGCACTGTCAATACTGTCTCAGAACTGCACTATCAGCAGCACCATCCCATCCTTTGGGAAGCTTTGGTTTAGCATCGCATTCAAAGTGAAGGTCGGGGCCCCAAGTGAAGTTGAAAGCTGAAATTTTGTGGTCACAAGCTCAGAGGCAGCAATGGCCGCTGTGATTATTAAACACTGCCCATCTAGATACACTTGTTAACAGGGGTTATTAACTAGCAATCAAGAATGGGACCTATGAATAATCTTTACCTTCCTTACTTACACAAGCTGAGGCTAACTGCAGCTTCCTATTGCTGATCTGGTCTAAATCAAAAGGCAACAACTCATCTTCTGCAAAGATTGGAAATGGTTTTAGTGACCAGCAACAATTACATTCTGTTTCTTACCTTTCACAGCTATACTCACGCAGAATTAACCTTGCTGCTGTTCAAGCCCTTTCCAACATTTAGTACGATCATGACTGGTTTTCACCTGAACTCCACTTATCTGCTGAATCCCTACATCATTTGATGTCTTTAGTCCGGAAAGTTTTGAATATCAGCCTCAAATCCTCAACAATTGAGTCTTTGAAATCTGGATGCGGTCAATACTCACAATGCACACTGCAGGCATTTCTCATCTGAAGAATGGCCTGGCAGACTTTGTTTGTCAAGCAGCCAGGATCAAAGGAGCTCAGGACACTGCTTATGAAGCATTATTGATTAGAGACCAGTTAACAAATTGCTTGGGCAACAATTTTCAATTGCTTGATAATTATTTCCTGTCTAGGTTCCATCTTCTACTTTCAAAATTAAAGTGAATAAATACATATTGTTACAAAATCTAAATTTAAAAGCAACTTGTTTCCAACTCCATTTTATGGAAATTGAGTATGAAGTCCCAAAACACAGCACACCTTACAATACAAAGTATAATAGCACTTTCATCACCTCTCTCAACTCCTTAGCTCTTGATAAACAATCAAGCTGCTTATCTAACATGTTTCTGGGATGAGCAGAAACAATTAAATATTGGGAGTACTGAAGTCATTGTTTCTGGATTCTGACCCTTAGTTACCAATACTCCATACCTCTTCCTGGCAACAACCTTGAGTTTAAACCACTCTGTTTGCAATCCTGGAGTCAACATGTAACACACAGTTAAGTTTGCAACTGCATATTCATGGCATCATTAAAACTGCCTATTATCAAACCTGTAACACTGCTGACTTTGCCTCCCTATCAGTTGATTTGCTGCTGTAACCCCCTATTCATGTATTCTTTTTACCTCTAGAGTCAGCTATTCAAATGCACTAGTGAGCATGAAAAAGGAGGTTAATACTGTAACAGCAATGTCACTAGACTCATGATCCAATGATGCCCACATCCCATTGAAGAATGAAGGGAAAACGCCTGGCTAGTCTCTACATTCTACCCTATGTAAATATGAGTACATCCAGATCTCAGCTGCCAGTGTCTTAACTCACACCATAGCCTTTTCCTCTAACACCCGTGTTTGTTGATTTACTTTGGTTCCTAGTCAAATATTATCTGGACTTCAGTATTCTCATTCGTTTCCAAATTCTTCCATGGCCTTGAGCCTCACTATTCCTGCAATCCCCTCCAGTCCACAATCCTTTGAAATATTTGCACTCTTATTCTGGCACCCAGTGCTTTCCCAATCAATTTTTCCTCAGTGTCATATTTTATCACATAATGCTCCAATGATGTGCTTTGGGCCACGTTGTCATGTTTATAGTGCGTTACAAGTTGCTGTAAATACTGGGACATAAAATCAAAAACAGCACCATTTAGGCCCTCATAAAGGTACACAAAGGTGACAGTGCAAAATAATGACTTCTCTAAGCCAAAGAACCTTTCTCCCTCCACAGTCAAACACTTATGTTGAAACCTACCAATAGTTGCTTTGAGTATTAGTATTGGAAAAATACACTTTGTTGAAGCTTTTTATCCTAAATTCATCTGGGCATTCTTAACACATTATAAAATATTCCCCTTTTACATGGTATGAGGAGAGTGGTCATTAATTGACAATGGTTATCTAGCTTAACATCAATCATTGGGAAAATGAGTCTATTATAAAAGATTTACCAGGATGCTGCCAGGAATGGAGGATTCAAGAAATAAAATTAGACCGGAAAGACTAGGACTTTTTTTTTTTTTAAACTGGAGTGTAGGATGTTGAGAAATGACCTTGAGGTTTATAAAATCATGAGGGGTATAGATAAGGTGAATAGCAAGGGTCTTTTCCTTAGGGTGGGGAGTTCAAAACTAGGGGGCATATATTTAAGGTAAGAGGAGAAAGATTTAAGGAGGATATGAGAGACAACTTTTTATTTTTACACAGTGGTTTTTGTGTAGAATGAACTGCCAGAGAAAGTGGTGGGATGTAGGTACGGTTACAACATTTAAAAAACATTTGCATAAATCCACGTATAGGAAAGGTTTAGAGGGATATGGACCAAGAACAGGCAGGTAAGACTAGTTTAGTTTGGGAACATGGTCAGTGTGAACTGGTTGGACTGAAGGGTCTGTTTCCATTTTGTATGACTATGATGGAGTAGTAGACAGCATCAAGAAATATAGAGAATAACATTTAAAGACTGACTTGGAACAACAGACTCTATAGGCTGAATGGCCTACTTCTGCTCCAAAAGCTTGCCACTGGTGGTAGAGGATTTTCCATGGAAACTACACCAATTAATAATGTCTGACAGTTAACTGCGGAGGTGTGTTTAAAGTTAGACTATGCAAGTTGACTCTGATTGTTTATATATAAACCAGGTAGCCAACCAAAGTTTGGCAGTTAACTATCAGCCATCATCTAACACTTTCCACGACCATACTTCTATCATAGTCCACCTGCTAACCAATAACCACTCTCTTCTCATGCAATATAAAATATTGCTCTCTATTTTTATTCTCATTAATACCATACCCTGATGAAAGTTTTGTCAAAATGTGTCTCGTCAGCAATACTCATACTACTTAATTCCTATTAACGTAGAGGCTTATACAACCTTCCTGTATTGACACAGAAGCATTAGCCTATCCAAACTTGACAGGTAATTTCTATTTTTAATATAGCAGGCAGAAAATTGTCACATGTATAAATTAAGCCTTGCAGAAGTTGGTGTTGCACACCTTAACTTTCAAGTTTAAATTATGGTAAATAAACTGTTCGCTGTATGCAGCAGCAATCAAATATAGTTATGCTGCTCTTGAGAGTGCAGCATGTGCCAATTAACTAAAAAGATGACCGATTCAACTTTTATTACAACACGGCAAGGCCAGCCAAACTTCCAAAAGTGGCTTTTATTTTACAACTTTTAATTGTATCCTTGTGCATAGTATTCAATTTCATAGCAAATGATTGAAGAGCAATCTAACCAGATTTACATTAAATTTAATAAAGCAAGCACGGAAATGTAAACAGTGCACAGAATACAAAAAATCCTCAATTGTTCATGCAATCTATTGGGTCTGGGAGGTTTTATTAACAAAGTTAAAAAGATGGCAAAGTTACTTTAATTATGAAAATATTTAAAAAATAAGAATAATATGGGAAAGGAGAAAAACAAAGGATAGAATACATTGCCCCTTGCACAAGTATCATGGATTAAATTGCTTCTTTTGGTACTGTAATTTGTTTGACAATTTCAGAAACTGAGATTTGAATGTATCTCTATCGATGATCTGGACTTATGCATACTCAAGGAAAGCATCTATCATTTGACTTTGGAATCTATGAGAAATAGGTTGTAGCAGTATCAATAGAAATCCAGACAACTTGACTGTTCAAAGATGGCACGTTAGCAAGAAAAAAAAAAGTTTTACTTCAGCGGTCTGCTGTTCTTCGAGAGACACCTGCTATGCTACAGCACTGGAAGAGCTCCAGTTCCTCAACAATAGGCTCATTCTTTAGAGCGTCATCCAGGTGAGGGACCATTTTTTATGCTAATCTGGGAGTGTGCCCTCTTTATCCAATTGTTAGAGGCCAAATGTAGCACTACTATTTTTACCCCCCCGTTCAGATCAGCTGACTCAGTATAGACTGAAGACAACATTTTCTGGTTTGCACAGCTAAGCAACTCAATGTTTCAATGTTTAAATGTGTTGAGTTGGCCGGGGAGCTGCAGAATGACATTTCACGCTAGTGCCATTGGGCTACTCAAATTTAAGGCAGGTTTGAAATACACACTGATCCCAAGCAGACATAGTGTCCTTTATCCTGTTGAATCCAAAAGTCCAGTTCCAGTATTTGGAAAAAAAATTACAGCTTTTTGCTAAAGCCACAGAACGTTTTTCTCTTAGGGATGTTATTCACTACAGGTGGCTCATACATTTTAAAGTAATTCACAGGCATGTTTAGATCTCATTTATTTTAATATATACAAAGACAGAAGCTCTCACATTACATTTAAATACAATATTGTCAACGGAAAAGTCAATCAGAATCAGATCCAAATTAGTTAGATTCAAAGTTTATTAGAAGTTACAGGGAATTTCTGACACTACTACCTTTCAATTCTCTCCTATACTTAGGCACCAGTTCAAGAAACAAGACTTCTAAGAGTCTTTCAGGTAACGAGACCTTGCAGAATAGAATCAATACACATCAACTTATTGCACTGTGGAATCAACTTACATGTATACTGTGAGTTCAAAGAAACAAGCCATCTTCTACTGCCATTCAGACATTTGCCTTTTTTGTATCCAGCTGTGGAATCAGCTGCTCTCTTTTTTTGAAGGGCAGTCTTCCTCATTTTATAGACTGTCAGTGTTCCTCAGTACTTTAGCTCAAATATCAGTAACACACAGCTGTGCTAAAGAACATGGATTCGGTGACTGAATGCAGGAGTTAATTGTTCCAATTGAGCTCTTACCACTAATGCTCACTGAACAGCATGCTGCTTCTGCCCTCCACTCTCCATTTCATGGAACCAACTGAAAGCACTGGGATATTTTTAGTTTTACAAATGAAAACACGATGTAATAGTAATTCCCCCACACACACTCTACCATACACTTGCTGTGAACTTTGCAAAAAGATCTTCCAATAACAAATTTCCATATAGAACAGAAAATAAGAGTCACGAGGTTCTTGAAATGCTGTGACCGCTTGTCTCTGTTAGAGAACTGTTTGAAACACTAGATTGGCTTCCATGGTCCATTTGTGATTGCTCAATGCTAGTGTCACTACCATGCAGAGGTAGAAGCCCATAGGTCTCAATATCTCCTGTGGCAGACATGTCCTCATGGTCAGTTTTAGTGAGAACCACCTCTTCATTCTCTGCTGTACAATAATTTAACGTGTTATGGTCCATTTCTTTTTGAAGGCCACCACTGTGTGAAGACACTGCTTTTTTGTTTTCTTCAGAACTTGCACCAGGTTGTATATGATCAATGGCATTAGAATCATTTAATAGATCCTCGGTATTGGAGTTGCCATTGCTTAATGGCTCAGTCATGTTGCTGGAGCTCTCTGTGGGTGTATTCCGTTCTGGAGCTGCAATACCTTCTGATATGATAGCAGCAGTTTCTGCCACCCAGTTCAGATCACCACTTAATGGTGTGACCTCAGAGCTTGGATTCTGCATGCGATTAGGCTGAATGCTATCAGCCAAGCTGGGAGTACCACTAAGCTGGGCTGCATCAGAACCAGCTGTAAGATGGTTGCCTGTGTCAGTTGGACTTGGCTGTGTGCTATCTATTGCAGTGTTGTTGTTGAGGTTGTCCTGAAGTGTTGTCTGGTTGGCCTGGCCAGCCTGTTGATTCTGCAGTAACATTTCCTGAATGCGAATTTGCTGAAGGATGGCAGGTAGCTCATAGTGATGGAAGAAGTAGATCATTGAATGCTGGATGGAGGAAAAAATTCAATTAATGAGTAATGCTGATGGTGTAAACAACTCAAATTTTACACCAGGCCTCTCTTTATACACACACACACACACACACACACACACACACACACACACACACACACTCTCTCTCAAAAGAACATGGGAACAAACACAATATAATGCAAGTGAACTACAGGGTCAGCAATTAATATCCTGCCCTTAACTAATGATTGTCCCTTTCTTAACATAAAATTGTAATTTATCAGTTGTTTAGGCTCCTGCATGTAACTGCGCCTGACATTTGGACATTCTTTTCAAAGGCCATTAGCTACCTACTTGTTATAGAACTCTGCAAAGTTGACTCTTGACTTCTCCCTGTTGGTCTCCCTTGTCATATGGCATGAGTAAGAGCTCACTTATCCAGTTCTGACAGTTCACATTCAGAGACAGTTTCTTAGAGCAGCACATTCTGGAACCGACCAGAGACTAGGCGATATTAGACTTGGTTTTGTGTAATGTGACAGGATTAATGAATGCGCTTGGAGTAAAAACAACTCTAGGCAGCAGTGATTATAATAGGATTGAATTTTACATTGACTTTGAAAGGGAGAGGAATGAATCTAAGGCTTGCATTTAAAAAGGGCAATTATGTGGACATGGAAACTGATTTAGGTGAAGTAAACTAAAATATTAGGATAGGAGATAGATTAGTAGAAAAGCAGCAGCAAGGAAAATTTCAGAATGTTCAGAGCAAGTACATTCCTACAGTAATAAAAAATTTCAAGGGGACCCACTATCCGTGGTTAACTAAAGTAGTTAAGGAGACCATCAAACATGAGGAGAAAACATTATTACAAAGGTGAGGTGTGAGGCCAAACGACTAGTTAGAATACAAAGAGTGGAAGATAATGATTAAAAGGTTAAAGGTTAATCAGGACAAGTAAACTGGAGCATGATAGAAAGTTAGCTGGAACTGTAAAAACAGATAGTAAGAGTTCCTACAGATATCGAAAAAAAACAAAAAAGCAAAATGCATTTTCCTCTTTTAGAGGATGAGAATAGAGTTAACAATAGATAATAAAGAAACTGTGGATGTAAAGAATAAGTGTTTTGCTTCTGTCTTCACTCGAGCATATAAAAATATCCCAGTAATACTCACAAATCATGAGGTTGAAGGAAGATAGTAACTTGGTGAAATTATAACCACTAGGGAAGTGATACTGAGCAAATTGATGGACTCGTAGGTCCTGACGGACTTCAACCTAGGGACTTGAGGTAGCTAATTGAATAGAAGGTGCATTGGTGTTAATTTTCCAAAATTTATAAAATTTTAGAAAAGTAGCATTAGTCTGGAAAATAGTATTATACAATTCCTTTATTCAAACAAGAAAGGAGACAGAAAACAGGAAACTACAGGCCAATTAACATGATGTCTGTCACAGAGGAAGTGCCAGAATTGATCAGCAAGGAGGTTACAACTGGGCACTCCGAAAATCTCAAGGTAATCAGGAGGAATCAGAATAGTTTCGTGAAAAAAGAAATTCTGTTCAATCAATTTGTTGGAATTCTTTGAAGGAGTAATGTGTGTGAATACAAACAGGAGCTAATTAATGTACTTGAATTTCTAGAAGTCTTTTGACAAGGTTCCACATAAAAGTTATTGTGCACAGTATAAGCTCAAGGTGTAAGGCATAAAATTCTAGTATGGATATGACATTGGCTGGTTTGCAGAAAACAACATATGCGTTAATGGGTTGTTTAAAGATTGGAAGGATGCAACAAGTGGGGTCCAGTAGAGGTAATTTGTATAAATTATATAGATGAAGGGATTGAAGGCACAGTGGTTAAATTTGAAGTTAACATAAAGGGAGGCAGGAAACTAAACTGTGAAGATGAAGAACAAGGATGCAGGCTGGTAGAGATAGGCTAGATGGGTGAGCAAAACTCTGGCAGATGGGATATGATGTGGTAAAATGTGAAGTTGTTCACTTTGGCCAGAAGAATAAATTGCAGTGGATCACTTAAATGGAGAGTGACTGTGGAATTCCAAAGTGTACAGGGATCCAGATGTACTAGTGCTCAAATCACAAAAGGTTAGCAATCAGCTAATAAGATGATAGTTTTTAGTTAATTTGCATATAGGTTGGGTAAATCAAAATCACTAGCAACACCATGGAGGAGGAATTCCTGGTGGGTGTATGAGATGATTATCTTGATCAATACTTTGAGGAACCAGCTAAGAGGCCAGGCCAATCTAGACTGGGTATTGGGCAATAAGAAAGTAGTAATTGGCAAGAGTGACCACAATATCACGGAATTCTCCATCTTGATGGAGAGTAACATAGTTGATTCCGAGACTTCAGTCCTGAATCTAAATACAGGAAACTACAATGGTGAGGGACAAGCTGGCTATGATAAATTCGGGAGGGTTGCTTAAAAGGGATGACAGAGGATAGACAATGCCAAACGTTTAAAGAATGCATGGAACAACTGTTCATTCCTACGTGGCACAAAAGCAAAACGAAAAAGATAGCCCGGCTACATCTAATAAGGGAAATTAGGAACAGTATTAAATCGGAAAAAAAAAAAAGGGGGCAGACAAATTGACCAAAGATAGCAGCAGACCTGATGACAATTGGCAGCAGTTTGGATTTCAGCAAAGGAGGACAAAGGAATTGAGTAAGAGGGGAAAAACATGTGTGAGAGTATGTTTGTGGGGGAACATGCAAACTGACAGTAGAACCTTCTATCGGTATGCAAAGAGAAAGAGATATGTGAAGACAACTGTAAGTCAGTTAAAATCAGAAACAGCAAAGTTTAATGGGAAACAGATAGCATACCAAATAAATTCATATTTTAATTCTGTCTTCACAAAGAAGGACACAAATAATGTCCCAAAAATGTTGAGGAACACACGGTCTAGAGAGATAGAGGAACTAAAGGAAATTAATGTTAGTAGGGAAATGGCATTGGGGAAATTGTTGGGGATTAAAGGTTGACACATTTCCAGGACCTGATAATCTAAATCTTAGAGTACTTAAGGAGTAGCCCTAGATATAATGGATGCATTGGTGGCCACCTTTCAAACTCTGGAACAATTTCCATGGATTGGAGGGTGGCTAATGTGACCCCACTATTTAAACAAGGAGGAAGGTAGAGAGAAAACAGGAAATTACAGATCAGTTAGCCTGGCATCAGTAGTAGGGAAAATGCTACAGTCCATGAGGACAGATTTAATACCAGAGCACTCAGAAAACAGTGACAGGATTCGACAGAGTCAACGTGGATTTATGAAAGGGATAAATTGATTGGAATTTTGCAAAAATGTTAACTAATAGAGTTGATGAGAGGGCACCAGTGGATGTGATTTACTTTGACTTTCGATATGGTTTTATACACAAGATTAGCATGTAAAATTAAAGCGTGGGGGATTAGGGATAGTGAACTGACATGGACAGAGAAATGGCTGGCAGACAGGAAACAAAAAAGTAGGAACAAATGGGTCACTGATTGGCAGCCAGTGACTAGTGAGGTACTGCAGAGCTCAGTGCTTGGGCCCCAGCAATGCATAACATTAATTACTTAGATGAAGGAACAAAATGTAATATCTCCAGATTTGCATATGACACAAACATGGTTGGAGGGTGAACTGGGAGGAGGATGCAGAGATGTTTCAGTGTGATTTGGACAAGTGGGCAGAAGCACAGCTGATGAAGCGTAAATGTGAAGTCCTCCACTTTGATAGCAAAAACAGGAAGGTGGATTATTAACTGAATGGCAATGGATTGAGAAAGATGGGGGGAGGTTTGTGCACATCAACACCTGGGTGTCCTTGTACATCAGTTTCTGAAAGTAAGGATGCAGATACAGCAGGCAGTGAAATAGGAAACATATGCTGGTTTCATAGTGAGAAGATAACAGTCCAAGAGCAGGGATGTTTTGTTGCACTTGTACATGCCTTGAGGCCACACCTGGAGTACTGTATGCAGTTTTGCTCTTCTTATCCAAGGATGGATGTTCTGGCTTTGGAGGGAGTGCAACAATGTTTTACAAGACTGATTCTGGGATGGCAGGTCTGATGTTATGGATCAGTTAGGACTATTGTCACTGGAGTTTAGAAGAATGAGGGGAGACCTCATTGAAACCTGTACTATTCTAACAGGACCAGACAAGGTAAATACAGAAAGGATGTTCCCAATCAGTGGTGAGTCCAGAACCAGGGGTCACAGTCTGGTCTAAGTATATGGAGTAGGCTGCTTAGGACTCAGATAAGGTGAAATTTCTTCATCCAGAGGGTAGAATCTTTTGCCAAAAAAAAGCATTTGGGCCAAAACATTGAATATTTTCAAGAAAGAGATAGATAGGGCTAAAGGGCTCAAAGGGTAGGGGGAGAAAGTGGGAACAGGGTACTGAGTTGAATGATCAACAATGAAAAAAGTGACAAACTCAAGCCAGGAGAAAACTGAGCCATTCAAATCTTCCATCTATTCCAGCTAATCTCCAAAATCTTGCCACAAAAGAATCTCCTGAACTACTCACTGCAAGACAAAGATGCCTCAACAAGTCCTGCTCTCATCTGCTAGAATTGCTCAGTAATGGATAATCGTACCTGATCAACTGTGTTCCTGTTTTCCACTAGCCCACCAGACAAAACATCCTCTGAAGATATTTGCTAACATAGCCACAAATCTACATCTTTTGCTAGTCCAATTGCTATGTCTCCTTATGCACTTCGAGCTCACCTTGCACACAAGATCTGCTTCCTGCTCTCTTTATTCTATTCCAACTAAGCTGCTACCCAACTTCTCCCAGTCCCATCTTGATATTTTTAAACAGTTCTCCCACTTTCCTTTAACTCTGCTGTTTACAAGCCGCTGCTAAAAAATACAGCTATTGATGTGAATATACTTGCAAAATGTCAGCCAATCTCCAAATAACCCAAAAACATTCTCCTTGAAAGTCCTTGAACATGCTGCCAGTGCCCAAAGTCACAGGTGGCATCCTAAGTAACCATGACAAAGGTAAATTATTCCTCCTCCAACTTCTGCAGCTTTTGACACAGTTGACCTTCACAATCCTCTTCGAATGCATTGCCACCATTATACTGTTGAGTGGAACAGCTCTATCAACTGGTCCTAATTGTACCTAAAGTATCAAAACTCCTAGAGCGAAGACATTTTTTGTCTGTTTTCTGTTCTTTAACCATTTTGTATCCCTAGTAATATAGTATCTCAACTCCATGAGCTCTTGTGTATCAACTTTTCCTGGAACACCTTAAATGCTTTTCAAAAATCCAAATAAAACTACATCCATTGCTTCCTCTTTGTCTACCCTACTAGTTACATGTTAAAACGTACAATTTGCCAAATATGATTTCTTTCATTAAAAAACCTACTCCTATAACTTTTCCGGTGATCAATTATTTGTAACCTGATGATTGATGTCAGTTTAACTGGGTTACAGTTCCTGTTTTCTCTTAGCAAATATAAGAATGCTAACTTTCAAAACACAAGGCTGTGCCAGATCTAGGGAACTGGAGTGTCAAAAGAACCCTAGACGTAGGCCATCAAGTCCAAGGATTTGTTCAATTTTAGTCCCATTAAATTCAACAGTACTTTTCAATTTATGTATGTTAAGTTCCTCACACATTAGATCATTGTTCCCCATTTTTTTCTGGGATGATTTTTGTGCCTACTACTGTAGAAACAAACTCCAAAATATTTGTTTAATAGTTTTCAACACCTTATCCCCATTATAATTCCTCTTGTATCAGAATTTAAGGGGTCAATATTTACTTTGCTACTATCTTACTTTTTACATAGTTTATAGAAGATCTTTCTCCCTCCCATTTTTACGTTTCTTGCTAGTCTACTATAATTTTTATTTTCTCTCACCAATTTTTCATCCTTCGCTGCTTTCTAAAATTCGCCTAGTCATCAAGTTTATTACCCTATTGGCAACATTTTAATCTTATTCTATCCTCAACTTTTTTAGTTAGCCACAGAGAAATCACTTTTTCTTTGGCGATTTTACCTCTCAGTACAATGCGAGTATCAATACTTTCAAGAGGGATGGGAAGAAATTTGGAATAAAAATGAAGAACTCCAAGAATATACCTGAATAAAGAGCCATGACGTCACCAAAGCCAAACTGCTGTACTGCCCATTGAAGCGATAATGGTAGGCATAAAAGGCAAAGTGATACAAGTAAAAGAACCTGTTAAAAAAAAAAAAAATTTATTTGTAAAATTTTGGTTCAAGGACATACATTAAGCCCATCAAAATAAGTTTGTTGAGACATGTACTTCAACAATACACACACAAAAAGCCAGAGATTGTAGATGAAAAAAAAACCTCATGTAAACTTAAATCAGGATGGCATAAATGGCATTAGAGGCTACAAACCTCTTGTCAAGATGATTAGAACGACTGAAGTGTACAGTACAGAGTCAATTGATACATTGTTTTTTTTTGAGAACAATTCATAATGGACATCACTGCACATTTTTCTTCACACTGCCAATGGTTTTCTCTGTTTCAGTACAATTTATTTAGGAATGCTGAAACCCGTGGCATTCCAATGTTTTGATGCATTGATTTTCTTGCTAAAGTTCTGGATTTGAAAAGCCTGCCAGGCTATCCATCAGATTTTGCATTTTTTTTTAAGCAGTTAATAACGATTATGTATAAATTATAACACAAATTAGTGGAAGATCCAAACACAAGTTCAAAAACTACCCAGTAAATGTGCTAAACTGTTGCCGTGCTAGTCTGTCGTAAAAACAAGCAACCTTAAACAGGTAAGCCATGACATCAATTATACTATATGTGATAGAAAACTTCGCAGCAAATTCCCATCAAACTTTTTCCACCCTCCTTCAGTGCAGAGTCAGTCTAACCAAGCAAAATACAATGGATAAAAACAAATTTAGAAAAAAACTGAAGTCACAAGAAGTTCAGACATTGGTTAAAGCGGATATTGGTTAAACACCCACCTAAGCCAGTGCCGTTTGCTGGTGTTAGTATGACAACAAATTGCATCGTACTGGTCTGCAAGCCAAACTATTAGAATAATGTAAAATGCTGTCGTCGTGTCATTGAAGAATTCAGACATTATGGCTTCCATCCCTGGAGGAAGAAATTTTAACAAATATCAGACAAGCTTGTTCATTTAAAGTGACTTACATTAAATATTAAAAAGTAAAAGAATCAATCTTTTGCAAAATACCACAGTTTCAAAACAATTGTTGCAAACATCGCAATCAGATGTAACAGCAAACAGAAAGTCAGCAAGATTATAGTCAATAGTGCATTGTTCGAAATTGAAATCTCTCTCATATATCCCACTGTAATCCAAAAGAAATCTCAGGGTCCATACTGTTATTATTGTATTATTGTTTTATTTTCCCCTTGGCCTACAGAACAGTATCTGGCTGCAATGTGACATGCACAGAAAAACTCACCTACACCGTGTATCCATTTCCAAAACACAATGTGAATTTAAACTGGTATGCTTTTCACAAGTTATTTATTTTGTCAAATACAAACACTTCCACAAATGACATGGTGTTGTCAAACCTCCCATTTTACAACATTTCAAATAAACAACTGTGTAAAATTTTCTTAGCATAAAAGCCTTCAAGAGAAGCCGAAACACTAGACTAACATAACAAGAGGGTCAGCAAACAAAATGAGGAAGGAACAATGATGGAGACAATGAGTGGCCAAAACAAACAAAATAAATTGAGGAAGAATGGAAAAATAGTAGTAATCTGAAATTCCATTGTCAATGATGAACTGTAGAAATAATTGAAAAAGCAAATCTAGTTATTCTGAATAACAAAAGAAGCATATTCTTTTATAGTTGAGGTCTTTCTGAAATTATTTAGGCATATTTCGCACTAAGTATCTGGAAATTTGGGAAGGATTAAACTAGTAAATCTAAAATGAATAGTTCAGGATAAAGCCACACGATGGCCTTGTATTAAAAAAAATTGTCTTTTAAACATATGCTTAATGGAACGAAACCATATAAGCTTACACAACGACTACATTCAAATTTATTCATTAGATGTCAAATGTTTTGAATCATTCCAAGGATGCAATACAATTTTTGCTGGATACAATTATTCTCTCTTTTCTAATTATTGTAAACACTGCAAAACATTTCCTTGCTCCTATCAAACGCAACATGATTGACAAAAAATGCTAATCTTGCAAATACTAAGTGTGCTCTGTTACCACAGGAAAATCCCTCTTACTTAAATTACTCCTCAGCCAAACTGTATCCTGTAAATCCATTTTAAGGGAGGCTAAAAAGTGCCACCTAAACTTGAAGGGAAGTAATCCTGCACTGAAATCAGCATTGATAGGATAATAGTATTAGAATGGGTTTGCAAGGTGGGTTTGCAGCTTCTACAAGAGCCTCACTTTTTTGAACTCCAAACTTTCCATCTGCATCAAGTTGGCCAAATGAAAGATAAAAACACATGTAGATGCAGAAATAAATGCAGTCTTCAATCTGCAGTAGGACCAAACTATTAGTTGATGCTTTGTGACCAGTTAAGGCTAACAAGTCATTCAACCTCTGAGGATGAAGTACCAATCGATGCGTAATCTTTCTTTGGAGGATTGACCATGTAAGCAAAGTCCAGATCCATGCAGGAAGATCTTTACTCCGATGCCAACTGATTACTTTGGTACATGCACCACATGCAATAGCTGCTATGTGAAGGCAGAAAATTGACAGGGAGAGTGTATGCTCACAATAATTTCATTAGTTCTGAGATATCTCCTGAACATGAGCTTTGTGTCAGATTGGGCTGACTGCAGACAATTCCTGGCAGATTTGCTTTTTGATTTATTGTACATATGTATGATTACTACTTCCTTAAAGCGCTCCAAAAGCTGATTTGATGCTTTCTTGAATGATATTGAGCCAATGTGAATGCGGTGCATGACTAATGGAATAAGTAGTTTTTCTTTTAAATTGAATAGACACTGGCATAGGACGATGACAGTTGTTGAGTAAGGCAGTCTTAATCGCTTTGTAAAAAGCCAACATTCTTATACTGTAACCACTGATCAGACTCCCCGGTCATCAGAAACATGTTTCCTGCACCTAGCCTGTCTAGTCCTCTTAGAACTTTATAGAACTCTATGACACTCCCTTCACTCTTCTAAACTTCAGCAAATATAGTCCTAAACAATTAAGTGTCTCTTCACACATCAGTTTAGCCATCCCAGGAATCAGTATGGCAAACCATTTTGCACTCCCTCCCCATGACCAGAATATTCTTCCTCTGATAAGGAGACCAAAACTACAAACTATACTCCAGCTGTGGTCTCAATCAAAGCCCTTCACACTTGCAGCAAGGCATCCGAACTCCTATGCTCAAATCCTCTCATTATAAAAGCCACCATACTACTTGCCTTCTTCACTCTCTGCTGCATCTTACTTTCTATGACTAGAATTGATAGATAATAGAGTATGCAAAAGTTAGACAGGTTGGCTTGTAAGTGCCGAATTTTAGAGGAGCAGGTGGTGACTTGATTGAAACATGCAAGATCCTACGGACGTTTTTTTAGGATGGCTATGGATAGTAAGTTTCCGTTCGAGGGAAAATTTAGAACTAGTAGTTACTGTTTAAAAATAAGTGGTCACCCATTTAGGACAGATGAGGAGAATTTTTTTTTTTGTTTTGAGGGTCACGAGTTGTTACAGCTTTCTTTCTCAAAAGGCAGTGGAAGCAGAATATTTTAACTTTTTAAGGGTGAGGTAGATAGATTCTGGATTGAAAAAAAAAGGGGCTGACATGTTATTGGGATAGGCTTGAGGTGTTAAGTTTCCTACTCCTGCTCCTAATTTGAATGTTCGTATATCGTACAATTTGCAAAAGCAATAATTAATTATATCTTCAGTTCCATTTGTATAGGGTATCTCAGTTTATCATGACTAATGGTAGTCTGATACCCAAATTCAAGTTATGCTATCCACTGGGACTCTTATCCTCGAAGTAACACTCCCATCATGACTTGGGTCTTAAACAAAATGTTAACCTGTCTTTCTCTTTTAGGCAACTGTTGTGTATTTCCATCAATCTCTGCTTTTATTTCAGACTTCTTGGATTTTCCTTTTTGTTTTATTTGTGGCTATTAAGGCATCTATCAGTTTCAGAGAATTGCAGACGTACAATTATTCTGTATTGGCCACAATGCAATGTACCGCACTAGTCAGTTTCTGAAAGTATCACATCATATTATTTTACTCAAGTATGGTAGTAATTTTAAGTTAAAAAAGACAATATCTCACATGCATAGGAGGGTTAGCTAACATCTGAAAGTAAGATGGTAAGTATTTGACGGATTCATCATAAGAGTTCACATTAAAAAAACATTAGGTGGTCTTTCTTTCGGGTCGAAGAATAAATTTCCATTGCTGACAGTTTATTCAGATTGCTCAAGTATTTCCTCCTATTAAAGGTTTAGTTTTCCATAATAATTTCAGATTCATGAAAAAGACAGGAAGATCAAAAAAAATGCTACTCAATACAAAACATTCTTACCAACAAGTGCTAGTATCACAGTAAGTAAAGGAGCTGCAGGAAATGCAATTGTCATGTTCATCTCCAACATCTGCAACAAATCAACTGAAAGAAAAAAAAAGTTCATTAATTGACAATATATCATGCTCACATTTCAGGTCTTATATTAGACTATGCAGCTCCTTTTCAAATGCACAAGCCATTTTATTTCTAATTAAGATACACAACCTTACACGTATCATTTTTGGAATTATGGTAATAATATAAAGAAGTGGGCAAGAACATTCTGCATTAATTATTTGACCTAATCTTACTTTATTAGAACTATTGTACCCTCAAGGTAAGTAAAGAATGGAATGTGTTGGAACATGTGGTATAGCCAGAATAACCTTTAGTAATAAGGATGGGTTAGCGAACATTGTACAGATTTACATAAAACAGAGCACAGGAAAGGCCATTTAGTCCAAACAGTTTGCGCTGTGTAGCTCCATCACAGCCACTCTTATCAAATCCCATCAGTATAATCCTCTATTCTCTTCTCTTTGATGTGCTTATTTAGAAGCACTGGGCTGGCTCCTAAGTGATTACTGCATTACTTAAGAGAAAACAGAAAGTAGTGATGCAGGTTAACAAAGCCAATCAGCTCAAGATTGTATTTCTAGAAAAATAGAAAAGTAGAAAGCTTGAGCTAAATTTATATTTAACTTTGATTAGACCCCACTTAGAAGACTATGTACAATTGTGGTCACCATACTATTAAGGGTTTTAAGAGGGGTTCTTGATGGTGCAAAACATTTACAACGAGTATGCTAGAAATGCAAGATAATACCAATTAAAAAAAGGTTGAACAGGCTTAATATAAAGGATGACCTAATAGAGGGCTTTAGAATATGAAAGGTTTTGCTAGAGAGGGCATAAAGAGAATGTTTCCACTTGCGAAGAAGACCAAAACTTAAGGGCACCAATATAAAATAGTCACCAAGAAACTAAATGGGCCTTTCAGAAGCAACACTTCTACCAAAAAAAAGTGATAATTTATATAGTTTGAATAGAGGCTAAACCCATAACCACTACCATCTAGTAGGACAAGGGCGACAGATACATGGGAACACCACCCTCCAAGACAATCATCCTGACTTGGAAATACATCGCTGGTTCAAAATCCTAGAACTCCCTCCTCAACAGTATTGTGGGTCTACCCACACCAAATAGACTGCAGAAGTTCAAGAAGGCAGTTCACCACAACTTAGTCAAGAACAATTAGGAATGGGCAATAAATGCTATCCCAGCCAGCTATGCCCACATACCATGAAAGAAAAAGAACTCGAGGTTACAAGGCCCTACCTTGAACATCTTCCTATTTCTAGGATTTGCTCTGGGTTTACCATATTAAAAAGGACAATGGTAATCATTCAAGTCAACATCCGTTGTGGCCTACTTGTCCCAAAGTTGCCAGTTGCTGTTAGAAGCAAGTAACAACAGGGTCAACTGTATAACAATTTACTAGGTTGCAGAAAATTGGGACAAGATCAAAGGAACGTCCCATACTAAAAGTGTTCCTCCCAACCTTTGGAGGGTCACAGTGGACATGAAGTGCATGTGCACTTCATACCAGCAATGGACTTCAACAGGAGCAAAATGTACAGTGCATTAAAGATTAGTGTAGAATTTCCTTTTCCATCTTCCATCTTCCTTCCATGCACTCTAGAAATTTTTTGAAAAGAACAAAAGCTGAAATGGCAAGACATAAACCAAAGGAACATACATTGAAACAATATGGGATGCTAGAGGTGAAAGGAAATGGCTTATGCAGCTATTTCCCTGAATATGGAAGGTAACATATAAACTTACTAGGGTTCAGACAGCATAAAGTTACACGGAGACAGAAACATATGAAACATTAAACAATATTACAGACATTTCTTCGATTAATGCCCTTGAGGTTCCCACAAGCTAGAAACTGAACTGGGCCAGCATTCAATTATCCTGGTTTTCATCTACAAGGCACGGAGGTCATGGAATACTCTCCACTTCTCTAGATGACTGCAGTTCCAGTAACATTCAAGAAGTTCAACACCATTCAGGCCAAAACAATCTGTTTGACTGGCATACCATCTATCACCTTCAACAATATCTCCCTTCACCACTGACACACAAAGTCATTAGAGTGTACCATCTGTTAGCAGCACTGCAACATTTCATCAAGACTCCTTCTAAATATCTTCCATATCAGCAGCAGCCTCCACCATCTAAACTAACAGGGCAACAACATGCACGAGTACACCACCACCTGGAAGTTCCTGTCCAAGTCACATAATAGCCTGACTTGGAGCTACATGACTATTCCTGGCTGTTGATTGGGTCAACTTCCTAGAAGCCCCTTCCTAACAGCACTGTGGATGTACGTACTCTGAACTATAATGGTTCAAGAAGGCAGCTCATCATCATCTTCTCAAGTGCATTGAGGGATGGGCAATAACTACAGGCTTATCCTGTGTGCCCACATCCTATGAATAAAATATTTAAAATGTTCCAGCCTTGGCTCAGCAAAACTAAAGGCTGACACTCAAGTGCAGTTCTCAGGGAGTGTTGCATTTTTGGACATGTCACATTTCAGAATGAGACATTAAACCAAGACCCCATCTACTGCTGGGATGGCGGTTAAAAAAAAAATCAAATGGAGATAATTTTAATGAGAGAAGGAGAGTTATCCATAAGACTACAAGATGTGGGAACAGAAGTAGGATATTCAGCCAATCAAGTCTATACTACCATTCAATGACATCATGGGCTGAGCTGACAATCCTTAACTCAATTTTCCTGCCTTTTCCCCCATAATCCTTGATTCCTTTATTGAATAAAAATCTCTCAACCTTGAGTATTCTTAATATACATATCTCCAATATCTTGGCCAATATTTATTATTCAATCGATGTCACAAAATAATTCTGATCATTATCACAATGTGGTTAGAGACAGTTTGCTGGTTGGAAAGAGCTGCATGTTTCCAACATTATACAAGTAGTACTTTACTGGCTGTAAAGCCCTTTGATGTATCTCATGACTATGGACAGCCTTATGCAAGGATAACTCTCACCTCTCTTTTTTGTTTCAATGGCAACTTTACAACTTCATCATAGAATGGTCACCCACTTGAATTGGAGTGGAACATTTCACAAGGCATTAAACACTCATGCATTAATATTTCATAGCATGACATGAAGTTGATGCAAGTAAACAAGGAAAGGAAACCAGGGTTTGTTTTGTGAATTTAATGTCTTTTCTTTGTAAGCACTTGGACAAGAACTTAGTGAACTAACATTATTTAAATAAAATGGCTACCATTCCTGCTCACTTTACGTGAAATTCTCAACAGTGACGAAATCTTAAGGCACAAACTTACCAATAAAGACAAAAATTTGATGATGAGAGTAACGTAACAGCATTGAAACCGACAGTGTCTGGGGAAGAGAAAGAAAACACAGTCAAAGCTTCTCCTAAAACTGAGGATTCGTTGCAACTTGCAATGTATGAATTATTTCTAAACTTCAATTTAAGATAAAAAATTGCAAGTAACTAGTAAGTATATACCTACAATACGAATGTCAAAAAATAAAGCCAATATTCTGCATCATTTACACAGGATAGATGCCAGGGATGCAATTTAAATCACAGGAATTCAGATCTGCTCTCAATTCAGGAAGTCAGGCAGTTAAAAACATAGCAAGAGAAGAAGTCACAAAATAGATTTGACATCAGGATATATTAAGAATCAATGTCTTACTTCGTAATGCTGTAATTCTCGCTGGAACAACTCCTTCAAATGGAAAGACTGTTATGCACTCTCATACAACTAGTGGACTGAACAAACCTCAGGATCAGTGAGGTTCCAAAACAAGAAGTGGCTATTTGGCTCTTTAAGCAGGCCACAAAGGCTTAGTGACAACAAGGTGCAGGGCTGGATGAACACAGCAGGCCAAGCAGCATCATAGGAGCAGAGAGGCTGACGTTTCGGGCCTAGACCCTTCATCAGAAAAGGGGGAGGGGAAGCGGGTTTTGAAATAAATAGGGAGAGAGTGCGAGGCGGATAGAAGAGGGATAGAGGAGAGGATAGGTGGAGAGGAAACAAACAGGTCGAAGAGGCGGGGATGGAGCCAGGAAAGGTGAGTGTAGGTAGGGAGTTAGGAAGGGGATAGGTCAGTCCAGGGAGGACGGACAGGTCAAGGGGGCGGGATGAGGTTGGTCGGTAGGAGATGGAGGTGCGGCTTGAGGTGGGAGGAGGGGATAGGTGGGAGGAAGAAC